CGGGAGGCGGAGCTTGCAGTAAGCCGAGATTGTGCCACTGCACTCCAGCCTGGGCGACGGAGTGAGACTCCATCTCAAAAACAAACAAACAAACAAACAATTAGCCAGGTGTGGTGGAGTGCACCTATAGTCCCAGCTACCTGGGAAGCTGAGATGGAAGGATCACTTAGCCCGGGAGATGGAGGCTGCAGTGAGCTATGATTGTGCCACTGTGCTCCAGCCGGGACAACAGAGCAAGACCCTGACTCTAAAAAAGAAAAAAAAAATTGGAGTTAATCTTCTCCAACCCAGCCTCTACTTTATCAAGTAAGTTTATTAACATTCTAAATCCTTTATTGTTGTTTAAACAACATTCGCAGCATCTTCACCAGAAGTACTTTCCATCTCAAGAAACTGCTTTTTTTGGTGCTCATTCATAAGAAGCACTCCTTGTCTGTTCAAGTGTTATCATGAGATGGCAGGAATTTAATCCCATCTTCAGGCTCCGCTTCTAATTCTAGTTTTGTTGCTATTTCCACCACATCCGAAGTGACTTCCCACTGAAGTCTTGAACCTCTCAAAGTCATCCATAATGGTTGGAATCAACTTCTTCCAAACTCCTGTTAATGTTGACATTTTGACTTCCTTTTCTGAGTCACGAATGTCCTTCAATGATGGCATCTAGAATGGTGAATCCTTTCCAGGAGGTTTTCAATCGACTTTGCCCAGATCCATCAGAGGAATCACTATGTATGGCACCTATAGCCTTACAAAATACATTTCTTAAATAATGATACTGAAAAGCGAAATCACTAAGGCCAGGTGCAGTGGCTCACGCCTGTAATATCAGCACTTTGGGAGGCCGAGGCAAGAGGATCACTTGACATCAGGAGTTCAAGACCAGCCTGGCCAACATGGTGAAACCCTGTCTTTACTAAAAATGTAAAAATTAGCTGGGCGTGGTGTTGGGCACCTGTAGTCCCAGCTACTTGGGAGGCTGAAGCAGGAGTATCACTTGAACTCGGGAGGCGGAGGGTGAAGTGAGCCAAGATTGCACCACTGCACTCCAGCCTGGGTGACAAAAACAAAATTCTGTCTCAAAAACAAAAAAAAACACAAAACAAAAACAAAGAAAAGAAAAAAAGATAATACACACTTTCAATAAACTAGTTGCCCAGGCTAGTCTCAAACTCCTGGCCTCAAGCCATCTTCCTGCCTCAGCCTCCCAAGGTGCTGGGATTCGAGGCGTGAGCCACCGTGCCCGGCCCATGCTTTTATATTCTATTTTTTTTGTTTGTTTGTTTGAGATGGAGTCTCAGTCTGTCGCCCAGGCTGGAGTGCAGTGGTGCGATCTTGGCTCACTGCAACCTCTGCCTCCTGGGTTCACGCCATTCTCCTGCCTCAGCCTCCCAAGTAGCTACAGGTGCCCACCACCATGCCTGGCTAATTTTTTGTAATTTTTTTTTTTAAGTAGAGACGGGGTTTCTCCACGTTAGCCAGGGTGGTCTCAATCTCCTGACCTCGTGATCCGACCGCCTCGGCCTCCCAAAGTGCTGGGATTCGAGGCATGTGCCACCGCGCCCGGCCATGCTTTTATATTCTTTCACACACATGCATGCTTTCTCATACAGTGTCTTGGTCTCTCTCACGCATACTAATCTCACAATCTCACACTCATCCTCAGTCACACCTACACCCATACTCTGAAACGTTTATGTTCACCCCCACACATACAGCTCCCTCACGCTCACACACTCACACCCGCACACACACCCTCACCCCCGTGCCCCCAAGCCCCTCCTCCCTCTGAGCGGCAGGACATCCCTGGAGGTTAATAGCAGGGACCATGCGCGGGAGACCAGCTGGCTTCCACTCCGGGCCTTGCCCCCCCGGCCTGGTATGTGGGCATGGCAGGAACCTGGCTGCCCCGTGGGGTGAGCCCAGGGACCCCCGCCACCATCTTGGGGACAGGTCGGGGAGCAGATGTGGCCTCCGAGATCCCTGGTTGGGGTGCAGCCTACGGTCAGCACCAAGCATTAATTAGTGTCGTCCCTGCCTGCCTGTCAGTGTCAGGCCCTTCCTGGGAAGTTTATGTCCCTCCCCTGCGCTTTGCCGGTGACAAGCTGGTCATTATCGCCTTCCAGATAATCCTCAGCTGCCGCCAACAATCAGCACCCCGTCCCCGCTGCCCCCTGCCCAGTCTCCACTCCCACCCAGCATGCCGCATCCCAGCCACCTCCGGCTTTTTGGGACACATTGTTGGCCTAACAGCTCAGGTTATTTCACATTCACAGATAAAGGGGCAGGAGGTCTTGAAATATTCCACCCCTACCCCCCACTCCCCCACTCCCGTTGTTGACACCTGTCTTCTTCTCTCCTATGATTCCCTACTCCAGGAAGCTCACCCGGATTGTCCAGGTCAGAGGCCTGGCGCTATGGCTCGAACCTGAATTCAAAGGCTCCTTGGGGTCACTCCACAGGAGAACACCTGCTGTCAGTCCTGCTCCAGGCAACACCTCCGTGGCCACAGCAGGGGCCCTGCGGGGTATGCAGGGGCCAGGGAGTGCGTGACACACGATCCAGCTCCGAGTTGTAGCCTCGCTCCGGGCCTGAGGCCAAGGAGGGTGCCGAGAGGAAGACTGAGTGTTTGCAAACAGGGCAGCTGCCAAGCAGGGGCCGGGGAGAGAGGAGGAAGGTGCGAAGGAGAGAGGGCCCAGGCGGCGCCCGCCCGCGGCGCCTGCGTGACCTTCTCACCCTGGCTACACATTGACAGGCATGTGCGCGCACACACACGGATCCGATGTCCACACATTGCGAGTCACATTCACCCCACATACACACAAGTACGTCAGCACACACAAGCTCGGATGCTCATGGACACACAACAGGCACAAAGTCGTATTATCATCCACGCGCAGTGAGACACAACCCCATCCTCCCTCCTTTACATGTGTATGCATGCACACACGTGCACACACTCATGCTCACACACGCACACTTACACTGGCGTACACATACTCATGCTCACACGACACACTTGCACACGTGCACGCACACACACACGTACACATGCTCACCCATGACATTCACACTTGCACACATGCGCACACTCATACATGTGCACACATACACTCGTGGAGACACATGCACTCAGTGGCACACACTCATGTTCACACATGACAGTCACACTTGCACACATGTGCACACATACTCACATGTACACACACGCACACATGCACACACACTCGTGGTGATACATGCACACTCACACTGGTGCACAGATACTCGTGCTCACACATGACCGTCACACTTGTACACATGTGCACACTTGTACTCACACATGCACATGCATGCACCACACACACTTTGCACACATGTGCACACTTGCACTCATATATGCACACTCAGTCACACACTCATGCACACAGGATATTCACACTTGCACACATGCACACACTCACGCACACTCACTTGCACACACGTGCACACACGGACACATGCACACTCACACTGGTGCACACATACTCATGGTCCCATGACATTCACACTTGCACGCATGTGCATGCTCACATATGCGCACACACACTCTCCCACTCATGCACTCTCACACACACTCTTACACACACACACTCACACACACACTCACACACACTTATCCACACATGCATATAGAGTTCCTTGATGGAAGCTTTGAGGACCGTATTTTTCATTCCATTGTTAGCACACACACTTTGGTAAAGGAAAGGGATTCTTAGAAGCAGGTGGCTCACTCCCTCCTGCCCACAGCTCTGCCACCAGGACACCCTAGAGGACAGCGGGGAGGCTCAGGCAGCACCATGAGCTCAGGCGGCTCATCCTCGCCCCTCTGTCTCTCTCTCTCTCCCTCTCTGTCTTTCTCTCTCTGTCTGCATCTCTCTCTCTCTGTGTTTGTCTCTCTCCATCTCTCTGTTTCTCTCTCTCCCCCTTTCTCTTTCTACCTCTGTATGTGTCTGTGTCTCTCTGTTTCGCTGACACTCTCTCTCTCTTCCTCCACCTGTTTCTTTTTCTGGGTGTCTGTTTCTCTATCTGCATCTCTCCTTCTTTTTCTCTCCCCCATCTCTCTGTTTCTCTGTGTGTGTGTCTCTGTCTCTCTCCATCTCTCCCTGCTCTCTGTTTCTCTGTCTCTGTCTCTCCACCTCTGCACCTCCCGCCCCCCTCCACACGCCCTCTGATGCAAACTCCCCTTCTTGTTCCCAAGCAGACAGACTCGCAGCAGCACAGGGATCTGAGTGCCAGACGCAGTTTATTTGCAGGGCGGCTGGGGCGAGAGAAGGCAAAACACATCACAGAGAGGGTGGTGCCGCATGGGAGGGAGACCCGGCCGGAGAGAAGGAGAGAGGACGGCAGGAGGACAGGGACGGAGGGGAGGCCGTGCCACACCGGACGGGTTCATTTATTTAACAGACGTTTCCTGACCCCTGCTGCAGGCCATGGCTGGGTACATGAGTCCGTCAGCAAATGGGAGGTTGCAAAGACCTCCAACGCCAGGAGCTCACAAAATAACCACAAAAAGTAAGGCATACAGTTAGAAGAAGACCCGTGTTCTAGAGAAATAATAGAGTGGGGGGATGAGGAGGCAGACAGTAAGCATTTAGGATGCACAGCTGTAACCCCAGCACTGTGGGAGGCCGAGGTGGGAGACTCACTTGAGGCCAGGAGTTTGAGACTAGCCTGAGCTAGCAGGACTCGCCCCCCACCATCTCTAAAAAAATTTAAAAAATTAGCCGAGCATGGTGGCACATGCCTGTAGTCCCAGCTACTCAGGAGGCTGAGGCAGGAGGATTGTTTGAGGCTGGGAGTTGAGACCCACCTGGGCAACATAGCAAGATCCGTCCATCTCTTAAAAAAAGTTAAAAATTAGCCTTGAGTGGTGGCACATGCCTGTAGTCTCAAGCTACTCAGGAGGCTGAGGCAGGAGGACTGTTTGAGCTGTAGATTTCGAGACGGCAGTGAGCAGAGATCGCACCACTGCACTCCAGCCTGGGAGACAGAGCGAGACCCTGTCTCAAAAAAAAAATGAAAACGCAGGGGTGAGGGGATGAGCCTAAAGTGTCCCGAGCAAACAGCGAGTGCAGAGGCCCTGAGGAAGGCGGCGGCAGGTACCGAGAGACACGCGGAGGTCTGAGACCCTGGGGAAGGTGGCGGCAGGTATGGAGGGACATGCAGAGGTCTGAGGCCCCCATGGACCCAGGGAGGCCTACAGCCTGCAGAGAGGAGAGAGGAGGAGGACGCAGAGGGGAGCCCCAAGCCCCATGGATGAAAACACACAGAGGAGAAACCAAAAGCCGTTGGCCTTGGAGGCCTCGATGGCGCAGCTTTCCTTTCTGCATCCCCCCGGGGCCTCCTCACTGCCCAGCCTCCACCTCCACCGCTCCCACTTCTTCAGCCTCACCCTCCCGCTGCCTCCAAGGGCGCCCCAGGTGCTCCCTGATGGAGCTCACAGCGCTCCTCCTTCGGGGGTGAGGGTCCAGCAGCCCCCACAGAAGCGCGTCGGCCGCGGGGGCCAGGCCGAACCAGGGCTGAGGACGGTCCTGGGGCTGGCCCGACGCCTGCCAGATGAGGAAGTCCTCGTAGAAGGGGTCGGCCTCGGCCAGGGGCTGGTCCCAGGGGAAGTAGCCCGTGAGCAGGCAGAAGACCAGGACGCCCAGCGCCCAGGCGTCCAGGGCGGGCTGAATGGGCAGGCCCTCGGGGAGGGGCGGGGGCGCGCAGAGCTCGGGGGCCGTGTAGGGGATGGGCGGCCCGGCCAGGCGCAGCAGGGTCCCGCGAGGCCTCGTGTGGCCGAAGTCGGTCAGCTTGAAGTGCCGGCAGTCCGGGTCGCACACCAGGACGTTCTCCGGCTTCAGGTCCCGGTACACCAGGCCGCGGGCGTGGATGTGCTCCAGGGCGGAGGCCAGCTGGGCGGCGCAGCGGTGCACTGCGGGCTGTGGGAGGCCCACCTGCCGGGAGAGGGGTCAGGGCCCAGTGCCCCGAGGCCACGGAAAGCAACCGAGACCGCGGGGCCCCTCCTCAGCCCAGGAAGCAGGCCCAGGACACTTAGGAGGCCGGTAAGGAAGATGGTGAATAGCGCCGTGAGGCCGTGTGACCTGTGAGGCCTGTGGGTTTAGGAGGCCTAGGGTGACCCCATAAGGCCTACTGTGACCCCATGGGGCTTGTGGGTGTAGTGGGGCCTAGGGTGACCCTGTGAGGCCTAGTGTGGCCTGTGAGGCCTGTAGGTTTATTGGGGCCTAGTGTGACCCCATGAGGCCTGTGGGTTTATTGGGGCCTAGTGTGACCCCATGAGGCCTGTGGGTTTAGGGGGGCCTAGTGTGACCCCATGAGGCCTGTGGGTTTAGGGGGCCTAGTGTGACCCCATGAGGCCTGTGGGTTTAGTGGGGCCTAGTGTGACCCTGTGAGGCCTAGTGTGACCTGTGAGGCCTGTGGGTTTAGGGGGCCTAGAGTGACCCCATAAGGCCTAGTGTGACTCTATGAGGCCTGTGGGTTTAGTGGGACCTGGGGTGACCCCATGGGGCCTGTGGGTTTAGTGGGGCCTGGGGTGACCCTGTAGGGCCTGTAGGTTAAGCGGGGCCTCGGGTGACCCTGTAGGGCCTGTAGGTTAAGCGGGGCCTCGGGTGACCCTGTAGGGCCTGTGACTTGATTGGGGTCCAGTGTGACCCGATGCTAGCTGGTGGGTCTCCATAGTGTATCGTGTGGGTTCTGTGATGTCTGTGAACTCCAAAAAGGCCTAACAACTCCACGAGTCCTGTGGGCCCCGTGAGGGGCCTCCGGGGGATAGGGGAGGCCCGGGGAGGCCCAGCGCAGTGGCTGTGGTTCCTGCGGCCCAGGCTGCTCAGGACGGTCCTGTGAGGCAGGAGAGGCACTCGAAGGCGGCTTGGGGTCTGCCTACGCACCTTGGGCTGGATGAAGGCCATGAGGTCCCCGTGCAGGACGGGCTCCATCAGGAAGCTGTAGGATTGTGCTGACTCGATGCCAATGCCGTAGGCTGTCACGATGGCTGAGTGCACGCCCAGCGAGAGCCCCACACAGAACTCGTACAGGAAGCCGCGGAGGGACGTGCGGGGTTTCGGGAGCTGCTTCAGTGCCAGGGGTGTGCCTGGGGCAGAGGGACAAGTGTGGGAGGCGTGCAGAAGCCAAGGGCCACCTGGGCCAGCTGCTCTGTTCCCCTGTGGTCCCCCCGATGGCTCCTCAGCTTGGACTCTTTCCCATAGGCCATCTCCACCTCCTCCAACTCCCACCTCCCTCCAGAGCCCACCCTAACAGCACGGCCACCCAAGCATCACCAGCAGTGCCAATAGTTACAGCATGCTGGGGCCCAGCCGGGGGCTCAGGCCTGAAATCCCAATGCTTTCAGAGACCGAGGTGGGAGGCTACTTTGAGGCCAGGAGTTTAAGACCAGCCCGGACAACACAATGAGACCCTATCTCTAAAAAAAGTTTTAAAAAGGCTGGGCACTGTGGCTCACGCCTGTAATCTCAGCACTTTGGGAGGCTGAGGCGGGTGGATCGCTTGAGGTCAGGAGTTCGAGACCAGCCTGGTCAACATGGTGAAACCCCTTCTCTACTAGAAACACAAAAAACTAGTCGAATGTGGTGGCGCATGCCTGTAATCTCAGCTACTCTGCAGGCTGAGGCAGGAGAATCACTTGAACCCAGGAGGCAGAGGTTGCAGTGAGCCGAGATCGTGCCACTGCACTCCAGTCTGGGCAACAGAGTAAAAAAAAATTTTTTTTTAATTAGCTGAGCGTGGTGGCATCTCTAAAAAGTTAAATAAAACAATAACAGTATGTGGTGAATTTCTACCCTGCTTTCTTACAAGCCCGTAGCCATGGAGATGGAGGGATACCATGCAATTTCTCCAGTGACCTCGTCTGGCTTCTCATGACAGCAAAGCCGTGTTTGAGGCAAAAAGGTATTTTTGAGACACCTGGGGGAAAGGTAACCTATCCTGGGTAAGAAAGCCAGTTAGGAATTGTGGATTTTGTCACGAGTGGAAACGATTTCCTAGAAGCTAAACTCCCTGAAGACAGGAACTTCTGATGTTGTCCTTTTTTTTTTTTTTTTTTTTTCACGCTTGTTGTCCAGGCTGGAGTGCAGTGGTGCGATCTTGGCTCACTGCAACCTCTGCCTCCCGGGTCCAAGCGATTCTCCTGCCTCAGCCTCCCGAGTAGCTGGGATTACAGGCATCTGCCACCATACCCAGCTAATTTTTATATTTTTAGTAGAGATGGGATTTCACCATGTTGGTCAGGCTGGTCTCGAACTCCTGGCCTCAGGTGATGACCTGCCTCAGCCTCCTGAAGCGTTGAGATTACAGGTATGAGCCACTACACATACCCCCCAACCTTTTTTTTTTGTGAGGCCTGTGGGTTTAGGGGGCCTAGAGTGACCCCATAAGCAGCCTCACCCTCCCGCTGCCTCCAAGGGCGCCCCAGGTGCTCCCTGATGGAGCTCACAGCGCTCCTCCTTCGGGGGTGAGGGTCCAGCAGCCCC